TAAACGTAACCATAACAGTGAGCTCAATAGCATAAATATGTTTTTGCAGTAACTTTTTTTTCGGGTTTGGCCCAACGGCATTTCTTCTATTTTTATTTTTTTATTTCTTCTTCTTCTGGACGTGCCTATCCCTTATGAATGTCGGCGATCATCGATTATTATGGCGATGTCCACTTAATTCGCAGCAATATGCAAGAGCTGTGTCAAACAATGTTCTGAGATTTTTCCGTCACGATATTCTTCTTCTTCTTCCTGGTCCTCTCTTTCCAAATATCTTTCCTTGCAGGATCGATTGTAACAAAACCTTATCTTTTTGAAAGGGTTGTAAGGCATGGGAGGGTGGGTAATCTCGACAATTTTTACATAAGGCCAGTCAAAATTCTTTGAATAGTCCTGGTTCCCACCTGAAATTTAAGGAAAATGTTGGTTGGGCAAGAAATGGCATCACATCTACATTTAAGTTATACCTACCTCAAATATATCTGCAAATTGGGCTTCAATGGGTCTTTTCCACTCGACTGAATTTAAGTATTTCATTCATATGGTTTGGAAGCTTATCCGATAAAATACTTAAAGTGCTATGTGGTTGATTTTTAAAAAAATTATTGAGGGAGATATTAAAGGAAAAAAAATGGTAATATTTGAAATAGTCCGCCAGATTTTGCACCAATCAGAACACGCTTAGTTGCCCGATTTACCGGCCGAAGCTGTTCCCTATCGACATGTTTGTTTTCTTTCTAGTTGAATGAACAAGATAGAAAAGGAAAAAAAAATATCGACACAAATGCGGTTTATCGATTTCTATTCCAGCTGGGGGATTCTATTTCACGATACGAAATTTCCGAGTAGTTCGACGCTGAACTCGATTTCGAATACGATCGGATCGTATTTTGCGATTCTATTATACGATCGAATTTCAATCGGATTTCTTCGGTTGTCGGAAGAAAGTTTTGACAATCGGCGGCTTTTACTTATGGAGTGAAGTTAGAAGTGGGAATGTTTTTTTAACTTTTTTCACAGAAAATAACCTCAAACCAAACAACTTCAACCTTTTTAAATTGTTTATGTTCTTATAGCATTTTTAATTGCAATTTTAATTTACCAAGTGTTATTGGTTTGCTACTTCCAGTACTATTACTTGTTCTTAAACCTCTAAGCAATAGTTGGGACTGTTAGGAGACTTAAATTGTTGATTTTCGGTTGATTATTGACAGTTTATTTATAATGTTGCCAATTGTTCGGGATCGAGTTCTTGCAAACGAAAATGCAGTAAGAAATCGCAAGCTAATGCATCGAAGAATGGAACTTCGCAGCCGCAGTGATGCATTTTCTCTATCTAACCAAAGATTTGTGGAATTATTTAGGTTAAATAAAGCATTAACAAGAAACCTATTTGACATCTTGCGTCCTCATCTAGTAGACAGAAAGTCTCTGAAAGGAGTGAGTATCGAGGTCAAAATATTAACAGCTTTACGCTTTTACGCTACTGGTTCTTATCAGCGCTGTGTAGGTCAGGAGTTTTATAGTGGCTTAAGCCAAACATCAGTCCATCGGAGTATTCATGAAGTTACAGAAGCATTGGCAAATATTGCTGATCAATTTATTTTTATGCCCAATACTCTCAATGAAAGAAATTCAATAAAAGAAGAAATAATGCACCATTCAGGATTTCCAGGAGTGGTAGGCATGGTAGATGGTACCCACATAGCTATTTTAAAGCCACCTCTTAATGAACAGTTATACATCAATAGGAAAGGTTACCATTCCCTAAATGTCCAGGTTATTTGTGACCACAATTTAAAAATTCGTGGTCTGTTTGCAAATTTTGGAGGGGCCACTCACGACGCATTTATATGGAATGCATCACAAGCCCAAAATTTCATGAGAAATATATTTGAAAATAGGGAAAGAAGTTGGCTCATAGGAGATTCGGGATACCCTCTACAGCCCTATCTAATGACACCTTTTAGAGCTCCTGAAAATGAAGCACAAATTAGATACAATCGTGCTCTCACATCAGCAAGAAGTGCTGTTGAGAGGTGCATTGGTCTGTGGAAAATGCGTTTCAGATGCATTTTACGAGAAAGATCTGCACGTTACTCGCCCCAATTTATGTGCAACATTGTCAAAGCCAGTGCTGTTTTACACAACATTTGTGTGGAAGCAAATATGCCTTTTGACTATGAGTTTTTACCAGATTTGGAAGATATACCAGGACAAGAAATTCAGCTCCCACGTCATCATAATCATGCTGAAGCTCTCAACATAAGAAATAATATTGTGCAGAGATACTTCCAATAAATGTTAGATGTAAGTGTGACTAGTGTGAGTGCCCATTTGTGGTGTAGCTGTTTATGTTAAAAACATTAGTACTACATCTTTAAAATAAGTAACAGCATTGTTTAATTAGTGAGTAATTGAAAATAGTAGATCAAAATTAGTATTTTACATTCTTAGCCAGGTATATAAAACAGTTTTCACTGGCAATTGAAGGAAATGACTAGCGAGCCATTAGTCCAGCTTGTCACCTTTAAAAGCCAGTAAAAACTGCTACATGGTGTATAATGTACAATAATTTATTTGTTACTCATTTGTAAAAGATATATTTTTTTTCCACAAATGAATAAGCCAGAAGATAACGGGTCTTAATTACTGTCTCAAGATATAGTTTATCTCGACACTATGTGTCTTGATAAATTGTAATATCTCTCGACAGTAATAGATTATTTCCCGTCTCAGATTGTAATATACTATTACAGTTTACCTGTCCTTTTAACAAGTCAGTAGCTTGTAAATGTAAAAATCAATTTTTGTTGTTTATGTTTTAACTTGATAAGTGACGTTTTACAAATGAGTGACAAATAAACATTTGAACAGATGTGTTTGGGTTAACTATAAATACTGAATCAATGTCAAGACTTTAGATTTTCTTCTCCACTACTTACCTACAAAAAATAGATTTTAATTATTACTTATATTGAAACTGTAATATCATTATATACTGTGATGCTTTCAGATTTTATACAATAAATGTTCACTTGAAATAAAAAAGGACAATTTCTCAAATCTTTATATATTTCATAAGACAAAATAACAATAAAAAAATAAAAAATATATTCTATACAACGCTCCTGCAATGTGCAAGGATAAGTAACAAAACAAAAAAAAAATTCTTAAAATAATACTAATCACAAACGAAGGACTAAAGAAACAAACATAATTTTATTTTCAAATAGGTCATTTATACAAAACACCTAACGAAAACACCTACAAACTGCAAAGGTAAGTAGGAGGGTAACAAAAATATTGATTCTAAATTTGAAAAAACACTACCCACAAATAAGGGTTGCCCAGTCTGTGTCCCTTTATGTCTGATTATTGTAGAAATAGTATACTTACTAATGGAAGTAGTTGAGACATATATTTTATCTATGTATATACTTATGTATGACTTATTTCATATTATAAAAGTATCAGTCGAAACAGCTCTCGTACTCAAATAGGTTAGAATATTTTAAATTTCTGAGATTTTGGTATGTAGATTGAAGCAAATAACTATATTTGTTGGGAAAAAAAAAAAAAAAAAAAAAAAAAAAAATATATAAAAAAAAAAAAAAAAAAATATTTTTTTTTTTACAAAACTAAGCGTATATGTCTTAGTTTCAAAAATTGCAACTGGCTGTATGGTAAAGGCCGCATGCCAAAAAAAAAAAAAAAAAAAAAAAAAAAAAAAAAATAAGGGTTGAAGTAACAAACAAACCTAATAATAGTTTCAAATTGGTTATTAATGTGAGAAACAAAGTAAAGATGTGACAGACAATAAAATGAGTCCAATGATTCATACAGTTTTCTGCCTACTAGATATCGAATGAGTTATACCTTCACATCATGATTATCTAGTATTGTGTTTGCTTGTGATGTACCTACTTGGTGACAATAATTGAGTAAGGTGACTTCCTTGTGTTGTAACTTATTAGTATTGTATATATTTATAGGTTCTCACTCTTGTACAAAGTCAGAAAGTACAAAAGCGAATACCTACCTATTAAAAATAATTATTCTAAATCTAAAACTCCAATGATCACATTTAATAATTGCAATTATCCAAAAATTTTAATTTGAAATCATCTAACAATCTTTTCTTGAAGCACATCACAAGCAAACACAACACTAGACGCTGATGATGTGAAGGTACAACTCATCTGATACCTAGTAGGCAGAAAACTGTATGAATCATTGGACTTATTTTTATTGTCTGTACGCATTGTTAAAAGATTGACATAATAATAGCAAACACTGAAAAATCTATTTTAAATTTAACTCAACAAGATTATAAGAATTAAGAGTTTAAGAAGCCAAGTACCTCTGCAGAACCAGAACCTTCACCATCGATAAGTTGCAGTAAAGTGAGGTAAGAGGCATAGGCATTATTATGACAAAACATACAAACAAACTTGGGTGACCACTGATTACTTACCAAGCTCTATCTTAGGCATGGAAACTGATATCGGTTTGAATTTCAAGGATGTATATTGTTGATGTCAATGCAGAATTTCAGCATAAAAACAATTGACTGGATAGTGCCATCAACTTCTTTATTTTGGATGGATCACCTCATTTAATATATTTTTGGATTCCAGGAGAAATTACAAGCATATTTAAGTGTATATTATCCTATAACCCAACCTGAACCATTAATAAAGTTAAGTATAGAATATTATGCATAAAGTATGATTAGAATTTTTCGTAGAATCCAAAAATATAGTAATGAAGGGGTTGATCTATTAGAAATAAAGAAGTTGATGGCACTTCCGGTCAAACCAAAAGCGAAAATTAATTGTTTTAAGGCTGAAATTCTGCATCAATATGAATGATATACATCCCCAAAATTTAAAATCGATATCGATATGCCTAAGATAAAGCTTGGTAAGTATTCTCGGGTTCACCCATAATGCATCAGCAAAATATGAATGTACCCCAACTTAGCCTTACTGCCGTTACTACTTTCCGGAATTTACACCTTCAGCAATTTGTTGGAGCCTGCTATCCAGTACTTCCTTTATTTCACTCAGTCCTTGGTGTATTGTTTCCTTGATCTCTTTCAATATATCAATGGTTTCTCTGTAAGCTTCATCTGAATGATCTTTTTTCTTTTTTGTGGGAGGGGTTCCCTCATAATCATGGTCATGATAGTCAGTTGTGACTCTTGTTGTTTGCTTTCTGGTAGCAAGAGTCTGAAAATAAATGCCATTTATTACTATAATAAAAAGAATTGGTTTTATTATGTTGAAAAAATGCTGAAGCTCTAAATGCTCCTAAAGTCCGAAATAATGTGATGCAGACTTGTTTTTCAAATTGTATGTCTGTCACTTTTTAGTGACCTTCAAACTTGCCCAATGAGACCGATTAGGACCAATGATTAGGACTTACTGAAATGAATTCGCAATTTGTGACCACAAAGTGAATTGTTTTGTCATCACAATGCCTCTTACCTTATTGAAACTTCTCCATGGTGAAGGTTGCGGTTCTGCAGAAGTATTTGGCTTTTTAAACTGTAAATATAATGCCACAATTATTAATTTTTATAGTCTTATTCACTGTTGAATAATTATTCAGGCCACAGTTACCTATATCCGAGCACAATTCCTTAATTCCTAATTTTTGTCCTTAATTCGATATTTAAAAACACCAACCAACTTTTTAATAATCAAGAATAAGTAACAAATATTAAGAATTAAGGAATTGGGTGACTCTGGCCTTAATAATGCAAATATATAAAAATAGACCTTGAAATAACTCCAATGATTTATATATTTTTCAACCCACTAGGTATCAAATGAACTGTTCCTTCAAATCGTCATCATCCAGTGCAATGACATCCAGTGACTCTGGTGTTGTGTTTGCTTTTGGTTGCGATATACTTGGTGATAAAATACCAAGTTCGGTACTCCCTGCTCCAGCATAAAATGTTTTGCCACCAAAAATGTTCAAGGCTCGTAATTCAAAACTATTAAACGGTGCAGAGGAATGTCCACCCCCTCCTGTTCCGTGCAAGTCTGAATTAATCATCTGTCCCTTTTTTTTCAAATTGTGTTTGAAATCCGCCCAAGTCTAGAATGGAAACGCTAATAATTAGAATCCCTGCTTTTAATTTTAATCCAATCCAAGAACAGGCAGTTGTTTTAAGCCAAGATCCTTATCGTATATTGTAGTGTAATTGCATAAGTTACTTACTTTTTGCCATTTTTCAGCCGATCTCTCGCCATATCCAAGTGCATTCAGCCGGTTTGCAATTGTCGACCACATTTTTCTTTGCGTTTCCCGCCCCTGGAGTCCTAAGAACCGCCCGTTCGCAAAGTCTTTGTGCTCTTCCATATATGCCATTAGGACTTCCCAATGGCATTCTTTTATTTTGAATGAAGCCATTTCAATTTATTTTCATTTATTAAATAGTCAATAACACAAAATAAACCAATAGACTCGAAAATATATATATTGAGGTTATATTATTATTTCACTTTTCACTTCAAAACAAAAAACTTACATCAACTGTCAACACATTCGAAATTCGATTTGATTCGGCACCTCTCGACCTGTCGAGCAATACGATTCGAGTTTATGCGATAGTTCGCATAACAGAATCTCGAAAAGCGAATTAATATGGCGGATTCGACTCGAATCGTATAATAGAATCGGCGCCCTGTCTATTTATTTGACAATTGAATTCTAACCTAAAAGGCTACCTTTTGTAAATAAAACATTTTCAAAGAGTGAAAACTGTTGTGTGTTGAAAGTTGTGGAACAGAGTTTCGAAATTGGAAAGGTGAGATTTATTTTGTGTTATTTTTCACCAACAGAACTATATTGTCCAAAGTAGGTTCCTACCTACTTCTACTAAGGTTGATTTTGGTTTTTAGATTAGCAAAAGCAAAAACAGAATATAGTCAATACTGTTTAGTTATGTACCACGCCATTGTATAAAAAGGCTCTAGTATACAATGGTACAACTGAAGACTAAAAAAAAAGCCAACACTGTACCTACTGTTCAGTGTAGAACTGTAGAAGAACCCCAGAACACAAAAGTACATAAGAGCAAATAGGAGTCACGGCTGATGAAGCAAAAAAATCTGTTTTTTTTTTTTAAAGATAACAGTCAAAATGACATTCTATTGGCAATACAATGTGAAGGGCACTTTCCAAAATTCACCGGTTTCTGAACCGGTGCGATACCGGAATTTTGAATTTCAATTAAAAATTTAAGGCCTTTTAGTTGGGGAGCTGGCGTCAAAAACATGCAAGAGTTTTCGCAAGGCGGATATTTTCAAAATAGGTCGTACTTTAGTGCTAGAATGCTAGTGTACAGTCAGCACACACAGTTCCGGGACAGCTGGCTCTGGGACGCGGGCAAAGTTGTAATTTTAAGAAGCATCTAAACTGTTTTCTCAAAGCTCAAAATTTATAGAAATTTTGCACATTATCTGTTTGAAGGTCACAGATAACGTATGTAAATCGTCCAGTGGCGGATTTAGAGGGGGGGCGCGGGGGGCGCGCGCCCCCCCCCTATTGAGCGACGCAACAACGAAATTTTTAACGAAAACACAAACATATTCATCAAGCATTATCCAACATGAAATTCCATATGGTTTTTGCTATTTTTCCAAATTTTTAATACTTTTAAATACGTTTGGCAGCAGCGAGCTGGGAGCGAATCGACTGCGGATGACGTAAATCCGCGCCAACTTTGAATTTAATCTATAATTGAAAATTCCAATTAAATTTAATCTCCGATTAAATTAAATGTTGATGTCAAATGATAGTTTATGAAAATCTAAGACAGGAATGTGAAATCGGTTTTCCTCTGAAATTAACCGTTCAGGTTTTACAGCCTGTCAAAGTTGCAAAAAGTCAATGTTCAACTGTCAATATTTCCAAAACAGTTGAACTTAGGTATAGGGTATATCACATGAAATCTGCTCAGAATTTTACGTAGAATCCAAATATGCAATCACATACAGGGTGTTTTATTTGAAAAAAAGAAAGTTGGTCTAGATAGCAAACAAACCAGAAGTGACACAGGCAATACGTTTAAGTAGAATTGTGGGAAATATTAGGGACATAAAGCTAGTTGAAATAATTCATCGGTATCGGTATCCGTAACGCAACTAGATACGTTGACAAGCGAAAAGTCTGTTAAAGCGCTCCCTGTTCCGGTAAACGTAAACGCATTTCATAACCTAGACATTTTTGTCTCAAAACTTCGGCGTTTTTATATCTAACCTTAAAATTGTTATTTTTTTTGCGATAGAGAAGCACTAAACACAAGAAACTCAAGAAAGTAAAAACTAAACAAATTAAATCAACCCGGGAGAAAAGGGAGGTTATATTCATTTGAAATTTGACACATGCGTCAGGAATGTCAAGATACGTTACCGATACGGATACCGCGAGAGGGCCGTAACGTTACGTTGTACGTACGGTAACTCGGCCTCAGTATCGCTTCTGCACATGCGCAGTACGATACTTCTGCACATGCGCAGTACGATACCGATACGGATACCGAGCAAAAAATACGGAAGCTTTATGTCCCTAATTTACTGAGCAACTTTCATTAAGGTCACTTTTTCGTATACGAGGTAATTAGAAAGTTACAGGTATTATACGCGACTTTTTGCCACTCTGTATATTTAAGTCGTTTTTTTATTATTTCTTATCTGAGCCTGAGGCCCTGATGGATCGCCCCCCCCTAGAAGGAATCCTAAATCCGCCGCTGAAATCGTCAGACGTCTAGTTCGTTGCAAAAAGGGGGTCAGACGTCCTCAAATTTCTTATTTTATGGCATTTTCTTCAAATATATTTGTCAAATACCTGCAAAAATATATTTTGACAGGACACCGAAGAAAATGCCATAAAATAAAAACTTTGAGGACGTCTGACCCCCTTTTTGCAACGAACTAGACGTCTGACGATTTACATACGTTATCTGTGACCTTCAAACAGATAATGTGCAAAATTTCTATAAATTTTGAGCTTTGAGAAAATAGTTTAGATGCTTCTTAAAATTACAACTTTGCCCGCGTCCCAGAGCCAGCTGTCCCGGAACTGTGACTGCTGACTGTACACTAGCATTCTAGCACTAAAGTACAACCTATTTTGAAAATATCCGCCTTGCGAAAACTCTTGCATGTTTTTGGCGCCACCTCCTGGACTATTTCCCGGTACCAAAAAAATCCAAAAAAAATATTCCTGGGCTTTATTTTGATTACCCTTTCAGATGAGCAAATAAAAAAAAACGTGGGAAAGACCCAATATGTCCCTTTTTTTTTCTTCTGAGATTATTTTCGGCATCTTCAATACGAAAGAAATTTGACAATGCCGAATTTTAAAAAATGTCATTAAATTTTGCAGGTACGCAAAATAGCGTACCTACCGTTTATAATATATCGGGTCTTCAAAAAAAAACCAATCAAAGATTGCTTTGGTTATGAAAACGTACGTCGCATTATTGTTTCTTTATCAGTCAGGATTTTTGACATGACATTTTGACATTAAATTTCATTGACTGACATTGTCAAAATTAAAGAAAAATATTGCTAAGACATACGTTTAAAAAACCATAGCAATCTTTGATTGTTTTTTTTTTTTGAAGACCCGATAGCATATATATGCTTTTCACTTATTATTGGCGTAGCATTATCCATGGAAATTTGGCAGGTTGAACCTCGACAGTATATGTCAAATTCCAGACAGTTTTAAAAATAATTCAAAACATCAAAATTTATTTTTAAATAGAGTAAAAAAATAAAAAAAATTGTAATTCTAGGCAACTAGATGAAATCCTTTATACTAAATTCGCAAAAACACAAAAATAATATTCATAATATTTGTACTATTCCCCTCGTAATTTTACTTACATGACCAGGCGCGCTGGCGGCACAGAATGCCGAAATTTCAACACCTGCAAGTTCAAGAACTCACTGACATCTGGACAAGCGCTCTAGAGTCATAAATTGTGCGTAGTAAAATCTGTTTTTTTTTTAAGATAAAAGTCAAAATGACATTATGTTGGCAATACAATGTAAAATTGTCAATGCTTTCAATTTTTTTATGTAGAAAAGGCTTGTCTTGCCAAAATAGTTACTAAATTTATGACTTGAGGTATAACTTAAATGTAGATGTGAAGCCATTTCTTACCCAACCAACATTTTCCTTAAATTTTAGGTGGGAACCAGGACTATTCAAAGAATTTTGACTGGACAATATACAATCAAAAAACCTTTAGGCCGACTGAAAAAGACAGAGACTATTATGGACCGAATATTTAAAGAAGATTTACAACGACAAATTTGGAAATACAATTCTAAAAATGAATATTTTACATCACAAACATTACTAACATACGCAAACGAAAATTTGGAATTTAAGGGAGGGCAATAGCCTTTATATAACAAGTACATAAAGTAAGGCTTTATTGTACGAATAATTTTATGGCCGAGCGAGCTTGCGAGCGAGGCTATTAAATAATGAGTCAATAAAGCCTGTTTATGTAAGCGTTATATACATGATTTTATGTACGATTACGACTGGTTTTTGTTAAAAATTAAAAAAATTTATTGAAAAAAGTAGGTATACCTGTTTCACCTTGGCAGGTTGTCAGGACCTGTTTCACCTTGGCAGGTTGTCAGGACCTGTTTCACCTTGGCAGGTTGTCAGGACCTGTTTCACCTTGTCAGGTAGTCCAGGTAGGCAATAAAGTAGCACTTTATTTTACTACACCTTTTCCAATTGTAATTCAGAGAGCGGAAAATGTATTTGAGAAAGGGAAATTAAGTTTCAGAAAATGGAAAATGTAATTCAGAATAGGAAGTTATTATTCAGAATATGGAATTTGAAATTCAGAAAAGGAAAATAATATTCAGAAATGGGAATTTGTAATTCAGAATAGGAATATGTGATTCAGAAAGGGGAAATTTAATTCCAGAAAATGTAAATTGTAATTCAGATATGCAATTTTGAAAATCAGAAATAGGAAAATGTAATTCAGAATCATGAAATATCTATGAGTGTTTTTTTTTTTAACTTTTAATCTTGTGTCGCTGAACACGGGACTGCTACTTGCGTTTATTAAATTATCATTTGTACAGTTTTACATAAAAATGTTCTTTGCGAATCCAAATACAAAAATCGTATTCATACAAATTCAATTTTTATTCGGTTACCTATACGTAAGCAGATAATAACATCCCAAGTAGCACATACATGTCCCTGCGACTACGTATTAACCAAATACAACGTCCCCAGAAGTGCAAATACAGTGCAGATTAGTGTCCGCCAATGATTTTTCGTTAAAATTACGTCGTGCCGTTGTCCTTAATATGTGGTCAAGAAATCGGACCTTTATCTAGCTCAATTTTGACGTAATAAATGAAAACCAGTTTTAACGTTGAATTGATAACGTCAATCCGTCGTCCTCTTGTGTACTTGTGACCTCAGAAACGTTGGTTAAACGTCGTCCAATACGACCAATCATAAGGTAAGATAAAAATCGTAAAATGGACGTCATAATATTGTACCAAATTCAACTTCTGAGAAAAACGTCCGGCCACCGTTAACATTGGACACAGGTAAAATTTGGTGTAGCATTTCATACTTTTTGCGTCGTTCGTTAATAATCCGTCATCAGTCAAATGAAAACATAAACAAA